GCAGGCACCCACCATTACAGAACAACATATCTATGGGTGGGCGTGTGGGCAGTGGAGGTGGACGAGCCTGGAGGGAGGGATCTGGGCCCTGGCACTGTCTAGCTAGTTGCTGCCTCAGTCTCAGCTGGTAGAGTCTGCATTTAGGGGCTGCAGTTGAGGGGTGTTAGAACCTTTAGCTTCATTCAACCTGAGCCCAGAGTCACCCCCGAACACGGAGGTTTGGCTAAGTTCCCTAAGAGGAAGCAGTGCTTTTCTGTTGGTGGAACTGAATTTTCTCCGAATACACTGGCAATTAGAAAGGGTAAAAGAGGTCTGATACACAGAAGGGAAAATGTTTACACTTCACCGATTGGGTATGTGTGTCTGTATTTGTGTGTGTGTGTGTGTAGATGTGTGTATAGGTGGAGGACTTATCAAAGAGTTTCCTTGTAGTGTTTTTTTTCCATGTTGGTCCCCCAAATCAGCTGATTTCTGAGCACTATCAATCCTCAAAAGGGAAGGAAAGTAGATTCTCGGCTGAGGGGCTAGGAGTAGCCCTCTGGGATCAGCAGGGCTGAAGGGAGCCTTGGGGCTGGTGGAAGACCCACGAGAACAAGGATGGCAGCGTTTACTCCAGGTGAAGGCAAGATTGGTGAAGTGGGAAGGTCTTCAGAGCCCCCCTTGTGTGATAGATGGAGAAAGAGAGGTCCCAGAATGCTACAGGACATGTCCAAGCCCACATGGCTGAGACAGGACTGCAGCCCCCTCCCCTTGTTGCTCTTGTTTTCCAGGCAGGGTTTCTTCCTTCAAACCACCATAGCTTCCTTCCTCAGCAGCCTCGATGGAACATTTGCCAGATTTTTCCAAGATAGAAGGGTCTTGTTTTCTGCAGAGAGAGAAAAGCAGCCATCAGAACCTCCTTAACAGGTGGTGGCTTCTTGGAATTGTGGCTACTTGCTAACAATAATCCTTCCTCTGAGGTCTCTACCGAGCATTGAGGATGACGGTACAGAGAGGCACACAAGGTGACTTCTTCCCATTCTACAGGAGAGGGCAGCTGTGCTGTACGCTGGGTCAGCAACCTGCTGTCGGATCCTCTTCTCTTTAGTTGGATCTCCTGCCTCTTGCCATCTGGAGAAGGAAAAAAAAAAGATGCTGCAGGTTTTGAAATCTGCTTCCTTGTCGGGTGACCTGCCCATTAGAGCACATGGCCTCTATCAAGACCATAAGCTACCTTGGCAGGTTCAAATAGATCAAAAGGGGCACATTCTGGGGCACCAGGCCCTGTCCAAGCATTGACCTGGCCTGCTCCCTACCTAAGGGCCTACCTTAGCTACCAAGCATTGACCTACCTAAGGGCCCGGGAAAATGGCTTTGGAGAGGAATTCTGTATATGGTGACATAGGAACCAAGGCTGAATGACCACCACCTATTAGTCAACGACCATCAGCAGAGCACAGACATTATGCCACGCAGACTACGAACTTGGTGTGAAAGGTTGGACTCAATGCCATCTAAGGAAGGGCTTTTCCAGCAAGAGGGGCCTATGATTCCACAACTCCCTGTTCAATGGACTTTTCAGATCAATTGAGATAGTCTATCAAATTGTGACTCCAGAAGGGTTATGCTTGTGGGATTTTGCTTATTTCTTCTCTTTTTGTTGATTTTTATAGAATTCAAACCCTCTTAACTGCCGTGGCCTCTTGTCCTTTCTTCTTCCTGATTCTGTTGTTTTTACACTGAAACTAATATACTTATGGTCTAGGATGTTCAACTATGTCATTTTGGGTTAAACGTCCCAACAGTTCTGTCCCCACAAAGGTGCTTTACAGCTGAGATGTGACTCAAAAGGTAAAGAGGAAAAGGAGTGTAGTATTGAACAGGGGGTAAGTGAGACATTGAGGACGAGAGAAGCTGTGAGACGCTGAAATGCATCCTGAGACTGGGCTCTGAACTATGTCCTCTGATCTTTTAAGCACAGACTTGCCTGGAGATAACAAAGTGGGTAGATATCGCTTATGATCACTCTGACCCTCCGATTTCTTGTAGAAACACTCTAAAAATAGAATCACGGGGGGAAAAATGAAGAGAAACATCATGAGGATAAAAGGAAGAAGAAAAAGTAGAAGCAGCGGACCCTGGGGGTGGGTGGAGGTTGAGAAAAACAGAATGTGATGGGAAAAAGTGGAGAAAAATAAGAGAACTGCACTGAAGCATGTTAAGAGGTTAAGGTACCTGCTTAGCAAATAGACACTGTTTAATCACAAACTTCTTATTGATGAATACATGAATAGATGCATTAACCATCCTCTCTAGCCCCATTTTTAATTTTTTTTGTGATACGCGGGCCTCTCACTGTGTGGCCTCTCCCGTTGCGGAGCACAGACTCCGGACGCGCAGGCTCAGCAGCCATGGCTCACGGGCCCAGCCGTTCTGCGGCATGTGGGCTCTTCCCGGACCGGGGCACGAACCCGTGTCCCCTGCATCGGCAGGCGGACTCCCAACCACTGCGCCACCAGGGAAGCCCTCTAGCCCCATTTTACAGGTGGAAAACCTGAGATATAATTTGACTTGCCCAAGTCCCTGCTGCTAACTGGTGTCGGGGTAGGAAAGGGAGCCAGCCCACGAGAGGAGCAGTGCAGAGCTGAGCAGAGGTAGGAGAGCGCTCTTCCCTGCCTGAGGCTGCGTGGGGAGGAGTTGCCCTCGGGTCGTGGCCTGTGAAGCTCTGAAGGAGACAGGCTGAGGCCCCAGCCTTCTCTGGCTTTGCCTCTGGCTAACCGGGCCTGGAGGGCCTGGAGTAACTGAGGCAGCGGCGTGGAGCGCGTTACTGCCGGAGGCCCTCCCCGTCCCTTTCTTTTCCTTGATGGCCACAGAAGAACCAAACCCTGACCTAAAATCTTCCCTCCTCCTCGTGGGAGCCATGTGAAACATCCACTGGATTTGGAGGTTGGGCTCCTGGCCCTCCCTTGCTTTCTCTGTCTCCTCTCGTGTCTCTGAGTCTCCAGAGTGCAGTTCCCAAAAGTTTCTCTCCTCCCTCAAGAAGATGGAGGCTGGACAAGGATGGGAGTTCTTCCCAAGTCACGTGGAGGCACGAGCAATTTCCCGCAGACGGCCTGCCTCTGGGGACATCTGACAGATTTCCATAAATCCCCTTCTTTTCATCCCTTTGGGGGAAGACAGGAATTCCCATCTATTTTCTCTCCCTCTGCCCCAGACCCTGCTCACAAACATCTCAGAAGGAACACTTGAGCTGGTGTCCTTCGAGTCCTCAAGAAGGCTTCTGTCCAGGGAGATCAGCTCGGTGCTTTGTGCCCACCTAGAGGGGTGGGACAGGGAGGGTGGGAGGGAGGGAGACGCAAGAGGGAAGAGATATGGGGATATATGTATAACTGATTCACTTTGTTATACAGCAGAAACTTATACAGTTTAAAGCAGTTATACTCCAATAATGTTAAAAAAAAAAAAAAAAGGCTTCTGTCCTCCGATCCCATTTTATTTCTCTCTTTGCTCCTCTGTTGAGATCCCAAGCAGGATGGGCTTATCACGGAAAAGAGCTGAGGAAAGGGCAGCACCACCGGGAAGAGGACTCAACATATGCAAGTGAACTTTGTCTCTGTTACTCCCCCTCAGGAGACCGTGTCCATTTTGAGCACTGGGATACAGGAGAGGACCCTGTGCTTCCTCTTCCCTGCTACCAAATGACTCACGAACAGCAGTACAGACAGGCCTCTGGCTCCGAGCAGACAGAGAAAAGGCAAGTCATGTTACCCAGAGGAGGCAGCAGGGGTGTGCAGACCCGGCCCGCTGTCGTCTCCGGAAAGGCCTGTCAAGAGCTCTTCTCCAAGCCCCAGGGAGCTCATGTGTTTTCACACCCATCAGTGGGTCCTGGGCTTCAGGGTGCCGGGGGTTAGGCTGGAGGAAGGAGCTCAGAAGAGACTATGTTCTTCCAAAGAGTGGGTGCTCTGGGAAGAAAACATGTTCCCACTGGCAGGAGGATGAAAACAATCTTCATTCCCGTCTTAGTCAACACCGACTCTCACTCCTCATGGCAGCATTGTCAGGAAAGGAGAAGGTGGTACTTGGTCTTACGAGCCCCATGGTGTTGGGAGATGGCGTGGTGGGCTGGGGTGTTTAATGAGTCAGAGGTCTGCAGCAGTGCACTGGGGGTAGAGATGAGAGAGCATTTCTTCCTGACGTTTAGGAAGTCGGATGGGTGCTCAGTTAGGTCCACCGGCCACAGGCTGGGAATCAGGCCTTGGGTGAATACCAGGCCTTGCTTCCCAGTTGTTGCTGCCACCTAGGCTGTTCTTAAATAATAACTCATTTCATTCATTGACTGAGATGGGCTGAATATTCTGAAACCTGCTGTCATTCATTTTACCGTCTTCCCTTTGGTTGGGCAGAGTCACTTTTGAAAGCAAGCCATCCAACCACCTTGCCCACTATCTTGTCCAGAACGTCTGCAGTCACAGAAGCCGAGCACAGAGCACGTGGAACATTACCTGCTCCCCTTACACTTTGCCCATTGAAAATGATAGCTCGCCCTGCGAAGTGGGCCTCACAGATGGTCTCTCGGGGCTTGACACAGCTCCAGTTCAGTTGCCCCAGTGGAGGGGGAGGGCCTGTCTGTACACCTCAGCAGCTGTCCCCTCCCCCAGTCTAGCTTCCTCGTCCTCACGTGGTGAGGGCAATAACCAGAACCGGTTTTTATATGGTTTTTAAACGAACCTGCAGATATGATGTTACTGTTTTATTTGTCCCAACTAGTACTGTGCCTAGTCTTCCTGTAACTCCTACTGTTTTTTTTTGTTTTTGTTTTTTTTTGCGGTACGCGGGCCTCTCACTGTTGTGGCCTCTCCCGTTGCGGAGCACAGGCTCCGGACGCGCAGGCTCAGCAGCCATGGCTCACGGGCCTAGCCGCTCCACGGCATGTGGGATCTTCCCAGACCGGGGCACGAACCCGCGTCCCCTGCATCGGCAGGCAGACTCTCAACCACTGCGCCACCAGGGAAGCCCACTCCTACTGTTTTAAACAATATTTATTTCAAAAATAAGAACACGCATCCTTCAGGTACATTTCTAACTCCTCCAAGTGCTTTGCGTTTTCTCTCTGGCATCATCAGTGCTTAAAACACTCCCCGATTTAGTGTCTTTTGAGAATGTAGTTAACGTGCTGTTTACCTTCCTCTTTCCAGATCAATCAGGAATGTTTTGAATACAGCTAAGATCTTCCTTGGGTTCCACCTAAAACTTTCTCCTATCAGTGACACAGCAATGTCCTGGTTAACATCTACTTGTGACAACTGCATTCAGTCAGCTGAGAAATGACTGAGCTCAGATGCACAACACCCTGAAATCTTCCTTCAGCAACATGGATGACACACACAACGTTTAACACTTAAGATGGGATCCCCCGTAATGATGTATATGTAATATTTTGGTGTGAGGTGTCATGACATCTATAATTTAAAGTATTCCAGTAAAAAAAAAGATGAAGCAAATATGGCAAAACGATAACAACTGTTGAATTTAAGTGATGGGTCTATGGGTTCTCATTATACTTATGGCTCTACTTTTCTGTATGTTTGAAAACTGTCATAATAGAAATTATTCCCAGATGGTCTAATTCCAGGAAGTATATGTAACTGGGGGTGGGAGCTCCAGGAGGCTGATGGGGTGGATGGGAGAGGGAATTGCTGAGTCCTTAATGATCATTTATGTTTATGATCATTACTTTAATGCCTGGTGGTAGCACAGTGTGATGACAGCAAACCCCACACAGCAATTCAATGACATCCTCTATCATTAACACCTTCCATGCACGGATGGTTCTCTAAGTTAAAAGCCAACCAACCAACCAAAAGTTCTCAATCTTTTCACCTCAAGGATGTTGGGGAGAGAGGAAATATCCACCAGGAAAATGTATCTTTTCTTGAAGATCATGCCATTTTCTGGTAACCACTTGGTACCAGTTTTTGTTTTTGTTTTTTGTTTTTTTTTTAAAGAAAAGGACAAGAAAAATAAAGTTCATTAATTACTTTGAAAGTACTGTTGTTTAGTCCCTCCACAGTAGACTTTATGGAATCTTTCTCTGGATTTCCACTTATATTGTGACATTTATAAATTCTTTTTTTTGGTATTATCTAACATAAAAAGAAATTACCATTTTTATTGCCCCTCACTTGTAATTCTTGCGAAGATTCCATTTTAAAAATAATTTTTTTTTGGAAGGGAAAAAGTTTTTTTGCATTATTCTAGAAGCAGTCTTTTTACTCCAAATTATGATTCACTCAACACATTTTTAAAAGGACACTTCAAGTCTCCATCCCACCTTTAGATATGAGGTACTAAATTCTGATGTTTGACTGCCCGACCTCACTTCACTGGACCTTTGATGTGGTCTCTGTGTGTCCTTTAATACGATCTTTAATATTCTGTGAATACTCTGATCTGGCTGGACACCAAGGTGTTCACGTTGGTGCTCTCTTCTCTGATCGGTGTCTTAGGAGGTGGCCCCACTGTGCCTGGGAGAGAGGGCCTAAGAAGGGAGGTGGGCAAGGCGTATATGGACTTGCTGCCACCCAGACCTGCTCTGGCCACTGTGCCACTGCGCCCAAGCTAATGCCGTTTCCCACTGCAGCTCTGTGGAAGGGGGAGGGGAGGGACTTGGATTTCGTTTTGAGAAGGAAGTAATCATGCACAGGGGTGGGGTGGGGGTGGGTGGGTGTAGTAAATCCCTGTCACTGTGCTTGAAGCTCAGTGGCCTCAGCCAGGGTACTGCTGGCACGAACGTGGGCTCTGAAAGACAGATCCTGACAGATCTGAATCCCAGATCTGCCCCATGAGATTTGCTCCGTTTCCTCACTTGTCCAATGGGGAACCGTATAACTCCGACTTCATAAGGTTCTGGTGAAGTTTAAAAGTGGTCATAAAAGCAATAGGCTTTGGACTGGACAATAAACGATAGCTGTTATTTAATAACCATTTCATCAATGCCTGGACATTTCCATTTTACCATGAACTCAACATTAAGCGTTTTTAAGAAAAAAGGATTTCTCAGTCCTTTCTTCCGTTTTTGGACTGAGTGTTCAGGCTCATCTCCCTTGCCCAAATAAACCTGCTAGAAAACCCAGTTCTCGATCTCTTTTCATCTCATGAGTCTATATCTTATTATGCTGATCTCTTACTGTGTTGTAATTCCACTTCTGTGCTGTCTTTTTTTGTTTTGTCAGTTCTGACCTGATCTCTCAGAAGTAGACTGCAAATATTTCTGTCTTTTTGTCCAAGCTGAATTTCATATTTTCTGAATCATGAAGCTGCCCTCCATGTGACCTAGAAAGCCCTTTGATGATCCATATTTAGCTGTATCCATCACTCAACAGATGTCTGAGTAGTTAAAGGCCCTCATGAGCTCCCTCTACATCCTGTGGTTTCAAGTTTCTGAGTTGTTAGTTAAAAAGCTTTAATCCCTTCTACCCGCTTTCCCCTACCCATTCCAGGGTAGAAGGACAGATACCCATTTTAGCTATTCATTCATTCAACAAGTATTTACTCATTACCTGCTACATGCTTGATACTGGGTTAGATGTTATCCTCTTTGCTTCCAAATTGCATTTTCTAATTTGACCCATTTAGACGAGTACTCCAAGTTTTTTGATTATTCCTCTAGAATCTTCATTGAGCATCCAATTAAATGGTCTCTTCTACCTGTAGTGTTTCCTGACCCCTGGGAGACTCGGAGGCTTAACCGCAAACCCTGGTGCCTTGCTATCATGCACCTGCCATTGCGTCTACAGATTCCAAAATGACATAGGTTCAGCTTGGGATCCATCTCAGGGAGTTTAGTTAGCAGGTAAGGCTGCAGGGCTCTGCTGGTTGGCTTCCACCATGAACGTGAAGAATGAAGTGGTAGCAAGGGTGAAATGCCCTGCAAGTGAAGCAGCTAGTTTCCAAAAACCCCATGGTTTTCTGTGTCCCTGGTTTCCCACAGAGATGCTCAGGAGGAAGGATGCCTCTCTGCTTTTTGAGCTCTCTGGATCTTGCCATTAGATAGCATCTCTTGGCATCTGAAAGGCAGCCTGCCATTCTGTTCTCCCGTGGAACACAGATGGCCCAGCCCACGTCTATCACTAATGAGGATCACATGCAGAGCCTTCTTGCTGGAGGCTCCCTTCCACAACCCTAGCTCTCCTTCCCCGTGCAGGCCAGTCACTGCTGACCATGGCATTTAGGTCTGAGAAGCCTGCTTGCTGCTCTGCCACTCACAGAGTTGAATAGAAAAATCTATTAGGTGGGCCTTGGGAAACGATTCTCATTCAGCTAGAATTTGAAACATTGAGGATTAAGGGATGGCTGCCAGTTTGATTGCAAGGGTGAAGTTTTGGGTTCTAGCTGCCCATGGAGGCTGTTGAGTTTCCATATGAGCAAGCACTGGAAGTTCTTCAGTAGGAACATGAGTAGTACCTGTTGTCATTCTGAGCTTGTTAGTCCCATCCCCAATACAGAGGTTGACCAGGTAGGACATCAATTTTTCACTGCTGTGTAATCTCACCCAGGATGATGGTAGGGTTGGAAATAGTGAGATAAGAAGGTTAAAGGCAATAGAATATAGTAGAAAAAGCATAAATGTTGATGTAAGACAGACCCATGTCAAGTCTTTGCTCTGCTAGTTGCTATCTGTTTGACCTTGGACAAGGTACTTCACCTTTCTATACACTAACTCCTTTTTCTGTGAAATAAGCAAAATGCCCGGATCATGAGGATTAAATGGGAAAGCACATGAAAAGGCCTTGACACAGTGCCCTGTACTCAGCAAGCCATAAATGAGAATTCCCTTTCCTATTTTCTTTCTATAGTAGAAATTTAAAATATGTACTTGAGTATGGTGGAACGTTAAGGTGAGCTAAAAATGACGGCCCCATGTGAAATCCTACACGATTCTGTTCACCTGTTTTATGCAAAACTTGACTGGTATTTGAGATGTAGGATAGTTTCTTTTTCCTTGCTATTTATTACAAGTCGGATGCAGGTCTGGTACTCGTGACTAGGAGAACAGTTCCAAACTGCTAATGTGAACACCAACAGAAATGCAAAATCTCTTTTGGGCTTAACACTGTAACTCATTCCTTTAACTTTCAGAGCTGCCAAGGAAAGCTCACCACCACCACTAGCCGCCCTTGAGGGCGCCAATGATTCTGGTCAATCCCGCCATGTACAAGTGTGGTCTAACTGGTCAGTACCAGTTAGACCAGAAAGTACTTTTCTAGAACAAGGAGCAAAGTACTTTAGAAAACGACTTTATGAATATTATTTTTTGATCCAGAAATCTCTCTGGGAGTCATCTTTCACTCTTCCAGAAAACAATGGACACTGAGGTTTGCTGCTCAAAAGGAAGTACTAGGCCTATTGATTTAACACTGATGCCTACTAAAATAGTTCCAACAGCGTTTAAACAAGGTAGATCAATCAACGCTTGTTCCTCCTCAACTAGGTCAAGGCTCTTCCTATAAGAGCAGGTGGCTGTTCACTCCCTCACAAGTGAGCTCTGTCCATATTCGGCCAGCTAGCTCCAAGAGTGGTTATTAAACTGAATAAACACCGATGCTTTCCACAACTGTGTTCTTTAGACCTGGTTCTGTCCTCTAGAGCTGCACAGATGAAATCTGGCCCCTGGCAGCTATCCTGTTTTCCCCTTAATTTTTCCCCAAACCCTTCTCCACTCAGGAAGCAAAGAGGCCAGATCCTTGATTCTTGCTTGAAGACACGTAGGGGGGAACCATAAAAGTAGTTAAACAATCACAGAAGAAACTAGAAAGAGTGTCTTAAGAAGAGAAGTTCCTTGTCCTAGAAAAGTACTTTATGGAATATTATTGCAGAGGATGGTTACTTCCATGTTCCCATCTCCACGGAGAACAAAAAGAAGAAATGGTGGGCTTAAGGCAGTGTTTCTAATCTATGGACGTCAACAGACAAATCAAAGCCCACCATTTCTTCTAGAAGGGGATCTAGTACTTGACCACAGAACTCTTTTGTTCATGGAGCATTTTATGGATACTGGTATTGTGTGAAACACATTTTAGGAAATTATGGTTTCAGATACGCTGCAGAAACTTAAACTAGACTTTTGAAATAACTTCCTGATTGATTATGGTCAGATCCTGGGACTGGTGGCCAAGGAACACTGAAGTTTCCTTCCTTGGAGGGTTGGTAGACTTCCTCTCTCCCCTTCCCTCTCCCTTTAATATTAGCATTAGACATCCATCTGCCTGGGAGCCTTGGGGTGTAGGTCGGTGACACAGGGAATCTGGGAGTCTAGATCCTCCCCATCCCCAGAATCTGTTTTTATGGATCTCAATCATGGTAGTGTTCCACGGAAGGTACAGCCTAGCTAGGACTGAGGGTTTTGGCTAAGAGGAGAGGGGGCTAGAGATGGGAAAAGTTGATGCAATTATTTTTGGCAGGAGTTGGAACCAAAGCAGCAGGAGAGAGTAAGTTTTAAGACTCTCTGGCAAAGTAACTTCCTAATCTGTCACTGGGTATGTGTAAAAAAGTGATTAGTGGGTCTCTATATTTATCATGATTACTCACAAATATGTAATTTACATAATATATACAGCACATTAAGTACTATGTCACCTTATATAATGTCCATATGTATAATGTATATGCATGTTATGTAACGCCAGTCTGGAGGTTCTTCCAGATTCTGCCAAGTATTTCCTAATTTATTTGGCAATTTTAACATATCTTTTCCATCTGTGGAAAGAACTCTCTTGAGAGGAGCTGGTCTCTGACCTGAAATATAATCATTCTACTAAGTCTGTCTCCATTCTCAACTCACTGGAGGAAACCTACAAAGACCAAGTCATAATGAGATGCAACGCCTAGCCCATTAGTCCAGGGACAACATAATGTATTGAAGACTTCCTGTTTCATTCTTTTTACTGCTAGAGGGGTAGAACTGTGGGGGCAGGTGAGAACATGTCTGGGGCACGGCCAGAATCAGAATGCGATGAGGAATGAGGGAGGATTCTCCCCTGCCTGCCTAACTTTGAGAAGTCACTAAATTATAGTAAGCCTTGCTTTCCTCATTATTTAGATGGGGCTAATAATATCCTCTCTGTCAACCTCAGGGGTTGCTGTGAGGAGCACTATGATGAGGTACTCCACAGTGAGAAACCACAGTCCCAGTAGTTAAGGGATGAGTTGCAAAGTCAGATTAAACACCACCACCAGACTTACTGAGGTTACAAAATTGAAAGTACAATTCCACCGATGTTTGCTATACTTTGTGGCTTTAAGGAGGACATGCGCCATGTCTCTCAAGCAACATTGCCAGTCCTGTGCACCACAGTGGGCAGGCAGGGGCCAGTCTCTGACTTGTGAGTCTCTAAGAATCACTTTCACCTGTTGATAGTGCCATGTCTCAACAGCCTCAATCTTGGGGGGCTGAGGCTGAAACACATTCAAGAATTTCTGCAAATGTCTTAGAATCAGCGACCCCAAATTGAACCTGCCTTCATTTCAGAATCAAGTGGCTTCAAAGATAGTACCTGTTGTCATTCTGAGCTTGTTAGTCCCATCCCCAAGGAGCCCATCATTCAGGACATTCTTCAGGTGGCCTGCTTTCCCCTTGCCCAGCGGTCTGCACTGTTAGGTTGAACAGGATGGTTCTAGATCTCTGTCTTAGACGGTCCTAGATGACTGCTTCTTTCAGAGTTAGGATCAGTTTGTACACACAATCCTAATTTTCCCTTCCTTGCGCAAAGTTCCTGACCCAGTGTTAGGAGATCAGAGGGAGCTCAGTGGAGTGACGTCGAGTGGGTCCAGGTTTCCTGTTCGGAAATCTCAGAGGGGATGGAGGCTGAAGGAGCAAAGGTGCCGAGGTGAATGTTTCTTTTTACCAACAAAGCTCTCCACAGACTTGCCCTCGGGGAGGGCGGTGATGCTGTTGCCAGCTGAATGAAGCCCACTGAACTCTGCTGAGGCCCCTCTGGGCACTGGCTGGCAGCTCCCTGCTGAGGCGCCTCTGTCCTCCTTGTGCCTCTCCACTGAGGTCATCCTGGCAGCCAGAGGGGTTTCTAGATTAAGAGACTATGGTGGCCATGATGAGATGACATGTGGAGAGTTTAATTTGAAGATCTGTCCGCTGCCTTCAACCCTGGACCAGCTTCTCACCAGGTCAGGCCAGAGAGAGTCTCTGGGAAGTACTGGGAGGCCTCATTCTCTCATGTGGGCTTGTCCCGTCCACACATGTGCCACACGTTCATTCCTCTCTGGCAACCTGGATCCAAATGGAATCGCTTCTCAGTGACCAGAAATGACCCTTTTCCAAGATGTGTAGGTTCTTTTCCCTGTTACGTATCTTCTTAGTGGTACCTAGTCCCAAACCACATTAGCCAAGATACCATGGACAAGTCTCTTAACTTTTCTGAGACTCAGTTTCCTTATCTGACAAATGGGAGAGTAAATCCTGCCCAGCATAGCTTTCATGTTGTTTTGAGGATCCAGAATAGAAATTCTCAGTCTCTTTATAAGGAGATACTTTAATTTCCCTTAAATCTCATGATCACCACAGGGCAATGTGCCTTGACAATGAAATGGCAGAAACGGGGAGTCAGAGCCTTCTTTTTCTTTCCCACTTTCTGTTCTTGTACTGCATATTTTTTTCAATCCAGAAAAATCCACCAGTAAATAAATATTTGTATATATAAATATATATATGCTACATATAAGTACACACACTTAAGACCTTCAGTAGGGCCTTCAGGTCGTGCTCGGGGAGTGGTCGTTGCAGAGGCAGGAGGGAACTGCCTGACGCCTTGTCTCCTGGTCTCCTCAGCAAAAGGCCCTTCCCTCCCATCTTCTTTGCCTTCAGGAATAGTCTGCCACCAGGGCTTGGAACTCAAACAGGAAACACGCTGTGGCTTGAAAAAGAAAGAAGCTGGGGGTGGTTTTTTTTTTTTTTCTTCCCTTTTTACACAATATTATGACACCAATTTGAAAAATAAATCTCAGTTTCTCTGCTTTCCCTCCCAGGTGTTCACAGAACTAAGAAAATAAATACCACATCTAAGGTGTGCTATGTAGGCAGCTCTGGGGGCTCTTGGAGCCGGCTCTAAACAAACACACAGCCAGCAGAAGGCTTCAGGAAAATCACCACTGCCCACTGAGGGTGCGCAGAACCAAGAAGGGAAACGCAGCTTTCCACAGCCTTTCTGCCTCCTCAGCAAGTTCCGGGAGAAGCTGTCACTCGAAGGACAACCAAGAAACCAGCGTGCGTATGCCGAGTCCTGCCAAGGGCTGCGATCTGAGAGTTGGAGGTGTTTTTGTCTCCTCACAGAGGGACCTTTGTGAGCGTCCCCTGGAACGCAGGCTCTTTCCCTTGGCCACATCCGATCTCCCCTTAGACAGGAAGCCTGCAGCCTGCTCCTTGAGAGCGGCGAGGAAACTTGCAGGGGTGGTGGAAAGAAAGGGGGGGTTTCTCCTTCAGTCTCAGAAAGTCCCGCTCAAGGTCTTCTGGGAAAGTGGGAGTTGCTGCATGAGCCAGCTGCACCCTGGAGGGCTCTAAGTCCATTCACAATGTCCTGCCGGCACTGGCTCTGTTGGAGTGTGTCCATAGTTGAAATAGAATGGATGTCAGGGTGAAGCCTTCTTGCTGAAGGGTGGCTTGGCTTCCACTGGTTGGAGAAGAGAGTGTGTGTGTGTGTGTGTCTGTGTGTGTGCGCGCATGTGTGTGGTGTGTACGTGTGTATGTGTGTGCTTCAGTTTCTTGTCTTCTCTCTTGGTTGAACTAGCATTGGGCATAGTGTCTAGTCTTTTGAACGGCTCTTCCTCCTCAGAGAAAAGAAGCTGCTCTTCTGGGGGGGCCCCATCATCATAGGCGCTTGGTTCTTGTGAGTAATTTTAATCTAAAAGCAAAGAGGCAGAAATGAATTAGTGGCCTGCAAATCCCAGAAGCCTATGGGAGAGTGATCTGCAGAGAGAGGAAGGGAGGCCAGCTTCGGGCTGGAAGGAGCCCCATGCAGAAGGACGACTGTCCTTGAACAGCTTCAGAATTGGCAACTGGACCCTGACTGGGCCTGGCGTTTGGCACTGCTGGAAGCAAGGGGCGGAAACGCTGGGGAGAGACAGGTGTGAGCTTCCCACGTGGCGATCAGCTGAGCTGATCACCTGTCTCATGTCCTTGCTATTCATAGTCTCTCAGAATGTCACAGCCAGAGGAGACCTCAGGGACCATCTCATTCAATCCCTCTGCAGGATAGATAAAGGAATGGAGATCTCAATGCTCTCTTGAGCCTTGGATTAGCCTAAGGTCGCACAGAGAAGGCCGGAACAGCTAGAGCCTAGTTCTTTGGATTCCCCGCCTCCACTGCTCCTGGCCATTCCTGCCTGGGCAGTGCAGAGATGTCAACCAGTAACTCCAAACTGACCTAGAGGCTTCAGTCTGACCTCCGACCCAAGCGCTACTCATGTGGAAAGTTTCCAAGGGAGTCTCTTAGGCGTTTCCTCTTTTCTTAGTCTTCTAGGGGAGACCCAAGTTTCTTTTAAAAGCTTTTATTTTTGTTTGAATTTTAGGTTTAATGAGTGCCTTCTGCAAACTTTAAGTCAATTGGAAGTGAAAGACACTGGTGAATTCTCATTTTTTTGTCTTTCTTCCCAACCTTACCCTCAGGGTATGGCTTCAAAATGCTTACTCCCTATTTGAATGTGGCCTGGTGACACTGATGCGTTGATAATCTGCATTGTCAGTCCAGCAACATTTATCAAGTAGGAAGATGATGTGGGAACAAGAGGCACTTAGGATTCAAAGACCTGGGTTTGGGTCCTAGGACTCCCCCTTCTTTGCTGTGAACCTTTGGACAAATCATTTTGCCTTCAGAAGCAGTGCTTGCGGAACCGTAAAATGAGGATAGTAGCATTTATTCTATTTTTCTCACAAAGTTGTTGTGAAGATCAAATGACAATCTGTCAGTGAAAGCCCAATGTAAACTGTAAAATGGAATGCACCAGTTAAATAACTTATCTTACACTGGAGGAGGAGAAAGATGCTTGTCAAAAGAAACACAATCTATGAGCCCGTTCTCTTGAGTTTTACCACCTATTGAAATGACAGTGTGACCCTAGAGAACAACAGAAGAACTCTTGAAGAGAGAGACCCATCAACAAGTTTAAATGTAGGATAAGCCAAGTGTTGTCAAAAAGAAGTTAGGTAAGGAATGAGAAGAACTGAATGGAGCAATTGAGGAAGCATTTTAAGATCTGAAAGGAAGGGAAGAAAATGTGTTGGTGAAAGAGAAAGGGAAGGCACTAGGTTGAGGGGCTACATACCAGCTGGTTGAGTGTGGACCAAAGGATGAGAAATGAGGTCAGGAATACAGGTGGAACAGTTGGTATAGGGTTTAAAGGGAAGGAGGCAGCAGAGATTGGGTTTAATACGAGGTAGTGGGGAACCATGATAACTTTTTAAGCTGGAGGATAACATGAAGAGAAGAGTTTGAAGGGAATTATTCAATAGCTGTTGTCAAGATGAGCTGGAGCTGGGAAGAGTCTGGCTAAGAGGGTTCTACTGCAAGCCAGGTTTAAATTTATAAGGCCCCAGGATATAGAAGGAAAAAGATGGGGCCAAAAGTCATTGTAGGGAATGAACATAACCTGGGGGAAGGAAGCTGAAAACGACTGTTAGGTTGGTTTCCATCAGCCTGAAAATCTAGGAAGGGAGAGAGTCCCTCTGTTTTGTGGTAGTCACCAGGGGAGCACACCGACGACACGTCAAGTACCGTTTTGTGTTATGTGCCTTATTATGGGCATTGTCTTTATCTCAGAATTCAGGGAAGTGAGGCACTTATCTGTGGTGTGCAATTTAGCCCCATCTGATGGTAGTGATTTGTGGCACATTTCCCGTGGTAAGCCTTGTCCCGCTCCGGAGCACAGGAGCCCCGAGGGGAAGAAGACATTCATCTTATTCACCTTGGTATCCCCTGAGCCAGCGCAGAGCCTGTACCTGCTATGGAAGTACTGACTGGTTAGCACAGCCAAGAAGAACGGGGGAATGTTCTGGCAGTGGAGCTGGCCGTGCTTGGGACAGAGAGTGGCAGCTGTGGCACCGCTTACATTTCCCATTGATGGAGCCCATTATTTTAGACCGTGGAAGATCCTTGCTTCTCCTTTTTCTCCCGCTAGCTGACCAGTTTATTTGCTTGTTAGCACCTCCAGGGCAAAGGGGAGGAGGTGAAACTCAAATCCCTTTCATTTGGGTTTTCAGCCGTTTTGACAAAGGTCTTGATGGGGCAGGAGTTTGGAGATGCTGGGTAACGTGAGGTTTTGATGTGGTTTGTGGATTCTAGTTCTACAGATAACTGGGAGTTCACTGTATACACTGGGGGCAAGAAGTATGAGATCATGTCCTCAACTCGAGTCAAAGAAATGGCAGTATCTTACCCCCTCATTCCCAGATTAGGAGGAGCTAGTGGGCTAAATAGGTAAGATCCCAATTTAGGAGGTAGTTGGATGTGGTTAAATCTGCCTTTTCAACCCCTGATGGAAAGAGAGCATCCCACATTTCTGTAGTTAGAACCCAAACCTCTCTGGTCAGGCAATTAACTAAAGTCTGTATGACTGTCTTAAAAACCCTTCATCACATTTATAACATCTGGCAAGCACTAGGGACAGCAGCCCCATGCCCTTAGTTTTCTGTTTTATTACAGAGAAAATTTGTTAACAGTTAAACATGTCACATTTTCCTTAGGAAGTCCTTGTTCATAGTGTAATAATAGTCACCCATTTTCCCCTTCCCTAGGTAAGTAACATTTAATTCTTTAACGGAATTGGAGATTTTTTGGTTTTGTTTTTGGAGTATACTTTGAGGTGAGAGGTTACTATGCAGTTATCCTTTGGCATCCATAGGGAATTGGTTCCAGGACCCCTGGCGATACCAAAATCCACAGATGCTGGTTTTATACAAGTCTCTTGTGTAAGATGGTATAGTATTTGCATATAACCTATGCACATCCTGTATACTTTAATCATTTCTAGATTGCTTGTAATACCTAATGCAGCGTAAATGCTATGTAAACAGTTGTAAATATAATGTAAATGCTATGTAAATAGTTGCCAGCACACAGCAAATTCTAGTTTTGCTTTTTGGAACTTTCTGGAAGTTTTTTTCCTGAATATTTTCTATTCAAGGTTGGTTGAACCCAAGGATGCGAAGCCCGTGGATGTGGATGGCCGGCTATATGATGGCACTTTCCCAAACAGGCAACGTCTTGGATACCCTATGTTAAACAGTCCATTACTTTCAAATTCGTTTATGATCTTTCTTCTCTCCTTCATTAGTTTTTATGTATACTAGGGTTTCTTAGGGCTCTCTTCTGTACTATTGATTTATCTATCCAATATTGCATCAATTGCTGTGGCTTTATAACTATTTTAATATCTTGTGGGAAGTCCTTCTTCACAGCTCTTTTATAAAATGCCTTAGCTATTGCATTGTCTTGTCAAGTTTAAAAAACTGCATTAGAATTTTGTCTGGGGGGTCCCTATTTAGAAACATAGGATGTTTCTAAATTCAAATCTTTTAAAAAATATTATTTAAGTCTTGAAGTTTTCTTCATCTATTTTTCACAATTCAGTTTGGTATTTTGTTTTTGTCTGTTGCCATTATAATACTTAAACTTTTTTCTGTTATATTCCTCTGATTGGTTATTGCTGGTATGTACAAAAGCTATTAACTTTTGTCTATCTTTCTGTATAGCTTCATTGAAATAATTTAACCTATGAGGTTTTCAGTTGATTTCATTAGCTTTCTATATACATAATTATATTATCTGCAAATAATGACAGTTTTGATTCTTTTCCAAATAGTTATATTTCTTTTCTGCTTCATGTGTTTTGCATTGGTTAGAACTTCCAAATAACATTAGCACACATGTCTTATCCATGGTTTTAATGAGAATTCTGCTAGCGTGTTACATAAAATATTACTCATTGGTTTAAGATAGATATTTTTCGGGACTTCCCTCGTGGTCTGGTGGTTAGGACTCCATGCTTCCATTGCCAGGGGCACGGGTTCAATCCTTCATCAGGGAACTAAGATCCTGCATGCTGTGTAGCACGGCCAAAAGAAAAAGGAGATTTTTTTTCTTTTTTTTTCTTTTGAGGAAGTGCCTTTCTGGTCTGAGTTTTCATCTTTAAAAATCAGAAATGTTGAATGTAATTGAGTATTTTGGGGTCATCTATTCATATTATCATGTGATTTTTCTATCCAAACTTATATAAGAAGACATCCTTGCATTCCTTTGATATATTCTTCTTGAGTGAATGATTCTTTTAATATATTGTTCAATTGTATCTGCCAATACTTTAATTTTTTTCTTTTTTCTTTTTTTTTTGCTGTACGCGGGCCTCTCACTGCTGTGGCCTCTCCCGTTGCGGAGCACAGGCTCCGGACGCACAGGCTCCGCGGCCGCTCCGCGGCATGTGGGATCTTCCCAGACCAGGGCACGAACCCGTGTCCCCTGCATCGGCAGGCGGACCCTCAACCACTGCGCCACCAGGGAAGCCCTACCTATAATTTTTGTTATCATGTTCATATTTGAGATTGGTCTGTAGTTTTCCAATTTTAAGCATAGTTTTTGTTAGGTTTTTGTATCTGTCTTAATTTTATCAAATGGATTGGGTAGCTTTCTATCTCTGTTCTATGGAACAGTTTACATAAATATTTATTCCCTAATAATATGGAAGAACTCACCAGTAAGATCATCTGTTTTAAGATCATTGTGGATGTAATTCTTTGAAAACGTTTTTCATTTCATTAAGGTTACCTAGGATTTTTATAAGATGTTCAAGTTTATTAGAATCAAGATAAAACTATATATATGTCATATAATGTCTTATTAAATAAAACCATTACCATATTTATATTACATATGTATTAAATATTTTAACATCTCTAATCTCTGTTTTTCTTTTTCTCTTTTTAAAATTAGGTTTTCAAACATTTGACATGTTTAAAGAACTAGTTCTAGATTTTCCTGTTTTTTAATTGTTTAATTTCTAATTTTATCTTTATTTTCTTCCTTCTGCTTCTCCTAAGTTTGTTTTATTATTCTTTTAATTTGGGGATTATTCATTACATTTTTTTCCTTTTCAAATAATGGAAGCATATGAGACTCTGAATTTACTTCCAAATACAGTTTAGGCTATATTCTGTAAGATTTGAATGCGAGCCTTCTCATTTTTATTATTATTATTATTATTATTTTTTTTTTTTTGCGGTACGCGGGCCTCCCACTGTTGTGGCCTCTCCCGTTGCGGAGCACAGGCTCCGGACGCGCAGGCCCAGCGGCCATGGCTCACAGGCCCAGCCACTCCGCGGCACGTGGGATCTTCCCGGACCGGGGCACGAACCCGTGTCCCCCGCATCAGCAGGCGGACTCCCAACCACTGCGCCACCAGGGAAGCCCTCATTTTTATTATTTTTTAAATAGTCAATAATGTTAGCTTTGATCGCCTCTTAAATCTATTATTCTTTAGGAGAATTTAAAAATCTTGAGTGATTGGATTTTATTTATTCATTTAATCTTCTATTATTAATTTCTAGTTTTATTGCTTTGTGGTCACATAAAACAACTGTTATAATTTCTGCTTCTGGATTTTATATATATGTTTTCTTTGTGAACTAGTTTATGATCTATTTTAGTAAATATCCTATGAATCCTTGAAGAAATGAGATATTTAATTATTTAAGGCACAGTTATTTCACCCAAGTTTAATTTTTAAATTGAGGTATAATTGACATATGACATTATTTTAGTTTCAGGTGTACGACTTAATGATTTGATATTTGTATATATTGTGAAATGATCACCACAGTAAGTCTAGTTAACATCTGTCACCATAGTTACAAAATGTTTTCTTGTGATGGGAACTTTTAAGAGTTACTCACTTAGCAGCTTTCAAATATACAATACAGTGTTATTAACTATAGTCACTCTGCTGTATATCACATCCCAGGACTTAACTTATTTTATAACCGGAAGTTTGTACCTTTTTACCCCCTTCACCCGTCTCACCCACCCTGCTCCCCCTACCCCCACCTCTGACAACCACCAATCTGTTCTCCGTACCTATGAGCTTGTTTTTTTAAAATCCAAGTTTTATGTCATTTACTTTTTTTACAGCTTGACCTCAAAGACAAACTTTTTTTTTTTTTTTTTTTTTCAGTACTGTTGTGGCCTCTCCTGTTGCGGAGCACAGGCTCCGGACGCGCAGGCTCAGTGCCCATGGCTCACGGGCCTAGCTGCTCCGTGGCTCCGTGGCATGTGGGATCTTCCCGGACCGGGGCACGAACCCATGTCCCCTGCACTGTCAGGCAGACTCTCAACCACTGTGCCACCAGGGAAGCCCTGTCAATTTTTTATATATGTATTTTTCTCAGAATATACATCTATACTGAGTTTCACAGTATATATTTTGATTCTGTTATTAAACAACTAAAATTTTATGACCATTATAACTCAAAATTGAGAGTACTTTATATTAAATAAAAAGTGACATTCTTTATTCCACTTTATGCTTTTGGCATGTTGGAAGGTTAGTTTGCCCCAAACTATCACTTCTTACTTTTAATTTCTCTATGCTTGTTAAGGATAAGATAAAAAGATATATATATATGTCTTTCTGTTTTAGATGTAGCTCTTTATAAGAAGTATATCATTGGATTTTAACCCAATATGAGAGTCTTATACTTTTAATAGGGGACTTTAGCACATTTATATTTTTTTGTCATTATTGATATATTTAGTCTTAACCTCTTTTATCTTAATCAAAAAAATTTTAAATGTTTGCTTGTTATTCACTTTCTGTCTTGTGCTACACTGACAGGGTTCATTAACGTTAAATTCTCCCAGATTCGAAAGGTGTGCACCCTGTTTTTAGTGTCACTAGTAATTATCTAGTTATTAAAATTTTCTTCAGATTTACATCCTGTAATTATTGAAGTGAAGAGAGACAATGAAAAATTTAACATTTTTACTATTCTTTCAACAATGTCTCCCACGTGCTTTCAGCCTTGGTGAACATAACTTTAGGTTTGGGATCCAAGTTATGAATGTTTACATTATATATCTTCTCTTTCAAAGAATGATTTTTGCCATTTGCATTCAGTTGCATAACCATATTTAACAGTTTTTTTTTTTTTTACTTTATTCTAATTTAACTGATTTTAATTTTTACCAAAAGTTCTTTTGTTGCTGTGCTGTCCCATCATTAAGCCTTCAATTCGGAATCACTTCATAGTATGTGCCTTCAGGAAAATGATTCAAAAAGGGTGCTTTTGTTTTAACTCTTTCAAGTTTAAGAATGATTTTCTGTTACCTTCTACTGCGGACCAAATTGTGTTCCCACCTCCACACCGCAAAATTCATAGGTTGAAGCCCTAACCTCCAGTGTGAGGGCATTTGGAAATATGGCCTTTAAGGAGGTAATTAAGGTTAAATGGAGTCATAAGGGTGGGGGCCTGAATCCAATAGGACCAGTGTCCATATAATAGGAAGAGACATCAGGAGTGAATGCACACAGTGAAAAGGCCATGTGAGGACAAGGTGAGAAGGCCATTGTCTGCAAGTCAGGAAGAAAGGCCTCACCAGAAAGCAACCCTGCCGACACCTTCATCTTGGACTTCCAGCCTCCAGAACTATGAAAGACTATGTTGTTTAAGCCACTCAGTCTGTGGTATTTTGTTAGGGCAGCCTGAGCTGACTAACATACCTTCCACAGACTGAACACCATAAAAATCATTGGGTCACAGTTTTTTTTTCATCGTGAGCTGTAATCTCTAAAAGGTGGCATGGAGAGAGAGTGGGGATAGGAGGAGTATCTGGCTATTTTAAAATCAGTGCTTGGATCTGGAGGAAAGCAGTCCAGTTTCCAGATACTACTGAGCTAGGTGGCCGAGGGTTTGCTTTCTTCCAGCTTTTTGTTTCTTTCTTTTAGGAGACAGGAGGAGCTTGGATAGATGTTTCTTTTTTTTTGCGGTACGCGGGCCTCTCACTGTTGTGGCCTCTCCAGTTGCGGAGCACAGGCTCCAGACACGCAGGCTCAGCAGCCATGGCTCACGGGCCTCGCCGCTCCGTGGCATGTGGGATCTTCCCGGACCGGGGCACGAACCCGTGTCCCCTGCATCGGCAGGCGGACTCTCAACCACTGTGCCACCAGGGAAGCCCATTGGATAGATGTTTCTTAATTCAGCTCCATCAAAATTATAAGTAGTACAAATTCCCTCCATCCTTCCCAACTCTAACAAGGTGGTAAGATATTAGGTTTTGCTGTAGTATGTTCTCATCCTTTTCTTAGACTTCATAGAAACCAAAAGATTGAGGTAAGATTTTGCAGGAAAACTCCTACTTTTTATAACCTTTATAAAAGATGACATTTCTAAAGTCTCTGTCTCTAGGGACTAGTTTTACAATTTGTAGAAGTTATATGGAACAAAGAATTATAGAAATAAACCTACAATTCAGACCTAGTAACTGTCTTATGAAAACCTTTTTTCTAGAAGACAACTTGATGTTCTGAAGGGCTCCAAATAGCAGGTTATCGAGGTATCTGAATACTCCACTAGAGTGAGGAAGCTCAGAAACATAACTTCTGTCTTGAGATTTGCACCCTCACGATAGCATTGAGGATGTTACTAATGTAGTATCCCAGTGAACACCCTGGGCCCTGAACACCAGGACAGTGGTTTCTCTTTGCCATGGAGTTTCTAGCTGGGTTTCTGAGAACAAACTGCTAACAAAGGTATGGTAAAGCAGGGACTGGGGTTGTTCCCTTGATTTTTGTTTGTTCAATCCTTTATCCATTGCTAAACAAATATTAATATTATTGTGCAACTATTACAAACAAACCAGGCACAGTGCTAGGTGCTGGGAAATATGGGTCACAGAAATGCCATAAACAAAATAGATAACCCGTGTGGTTACCCTTTCAGGGGAGCTTTCAGGTGGGTCCTCGGGGCTGCGGGTGCACCTGGGGTGCAGCGTGTCTATGCACTGTGGGAATTCTCCCCCAGGAGCCCCGGTGGTCACAGCAGCTAGCTGGAAGTTTGGCGTAAGTGTGCACATTTGGCTGCCATATAAAGAAGCACCTTCTAGTGATTAGGCTTGTTCATCAGTGGAACAGTCTTCCTTTTGGGGTGGTAAGTTCCTTGCCACTGAGTGATTCAAGCTGAGGCTCTCAAGGACACTGTAGATGAAGCCTCAGAATTCACCATCTAGAACCATAAGCTCTTTGAAGACAGGTCTATGTCTCCTTTGGTTTTGGAACTGGTGTCTCCCAGTGTCTGACACATAGCACATATTCAATAAAAGCTTGGCAGGTAAATGAATGGATGGATGAATAAAGTGGACGAGAAGCTGCACTAGATGATCTCCCAAAGCTCCTGTAACTCTGAGATTCAGAGTTTCATATTAAGTCAGTGCCCCAAAGGGGCCCAAAATAAAGCTTCTCACCCTCATCTCGAAGATTGGCAAAACTTACCGTGCAAGGTGGCTGCATCCAGGGCTCTCCGTCCACTTGCATTGGCAGCAGCTTGTTCGTCCTGGAGCCCCGAGAACAGAGAGCACAGTGAGCTTCTTGGACTCTGAGGATGAGGGTTGCCCCCACCAGGGAAATAGAAGTGGGAAGACCTGACCTGCTCACCTAGGAGTGGCTCTGAAGACTCTCCTGCGGGGGTGGGGCTTGCTGAAAACAGATTTCTGAGCCCACGTCAGGGGTCCCGACTTGACAGGTGAGGGCCAGGCCCAGAGGTCTGTGTTTTAATAAGCACTATGGATGATTCTGTTGCTTTGACCCCCAGACTCTACTTTGAGAAACATGGCCCTGGGTGAGCAGTGAAGTCCAGAGGAGTCTGGGAAACAGCGGCCAACAAGTATGGCAGCACCACAGCTGAGTGGACCCTTAGTCAAACGATCAGCCAGAGGGCCTGTCCATGGTGCCAAAACGCCACTATGAAATGGGAAAGGTTATGAAATGGGAAAGGTTATGAAATGGGGAAAGGCCTGGTTTCAATGTTGAGTGAGCAGTTGCGTCGTGTCAGTGAGGTAACGTCTCCCACTTAAACGAGGTACAGCTCAGGTCTGAGTGTGTCTTGCCTTGCCCCCGTCCTAAAGCATCCCCTCTTTTATCTCCTGAACAACAGCAGACGCTGCGGTTGCATGGAATGTGGACCTGGCTTAGCTGGGAAAGGGGGTCATTGGGAATGTGATCCCCATGGGTAGGCGGAGGAGAGAGGAGAAAGTGTTGCTTTCTTGCTTGGGTCAAGGCTTCTTTGGCATATGGATTATTAAAGGAGAGAGATGAAGGAGAAAAGGCAGGTCCTTTCGGAGGCCTCTGGTCTGGGCGAGCAGGGAACAGTTGCCACCCACTGGCCAGAAAGCCCTCACCTGGGTTTGGCATCTGCCCTGCTTCTGAAATTATAAAATGAGGGAGGCAGGCTGCGTTTCTTTTTTTTTTTTCCAGGCTGTGTTTTGATGCAGATGATTCTCTGACTGACTCTGAGGATATTTAATAATAAGAACCAATAAACCTAATAATAAAACAAATAGGAGAGAGAGAGTGGCATTTTGGTTTTGGGGAGTGAGGAGAGTATCTGGGGAATGCCCAGGAGGCTAGGGCTTCTGACTCACCCCCTCTATTTCTATCTGGAAACAGAAATATCCTATCTCTTATACATGTTTTTTAAAAATTCTTCAGAGACCAAATTCTCTGGTCTACATATGTTATGGCTTAGATGTGCTAATGGACTGGACCTACTCAGTGTTAGAGTCATGGGGGAAGGACAGAGAAGGAACTACAGAGGTTAACCTGGAAAACAGGGGCCCCAGCACAACAGCCCAACGAAGAAGAGAAGCAAAGATTTGGGGAATAATTGAAAAGACAGAGGAGACACAGAGAGGGAATGAAGAAAGGGGGTTAGTGGGATAGATCAGGGAACCAGCTCTGAGGACCTTTCTGAAGGATGCAGGGTGGCACCAAGAACAGCGTTTCTCTGAATGTGCTCTGAGGACCTTCACCCAAGAGGTTAAGGGATAAAAGGGTTCTGTGTTTAAATAACTTTGGGAAACCTGCATGTGGTGGTCCCCTCCAGGAGATTCCCAAGACACACGAATAGATTTGATCTATAGAAATTAAATGGGAAATGGAAGGGAATGAGGACTCCTGACATAATCAGGTGGACGAAAATCTGTGACGAGTTGCATTTATTAAACAGAAGCAGCCCAAATCAGAAGATCCCCTCCATCAGACCCCATCTATTCAGGAACCTGCAGTGGCTGACCTGTGTGATCCACACTCTAGAGAACTGTCATCCTCTTAGTCAGTTATGACGGGTTTGCTGAGGTTGATGGTTTAACTCTACAAAGGTATATGGGATTGCTAACTCTAATAAAAGTATTTCTAAGACCATTATCCAAGAAAGAGCAGAGTGGAGCACAGAGCCTGGTTTTTGTCAAAGTGTGCCCTCTGGCATGCATTGAACAGTTCAGTTTGTAAAGATAGAGAAGGCAAGGAGTTGGATCTCTGGTTCTCTGGACCTCATAGTATGACAATCCTATTTAGAGAATCTCACCAATTCATTCTAAGAGAACAGCAAACTGGTTGTGGTGGGACCCTTTAGTTGATGTCCTGGATGTTTGCGTTATACCTGGTTGGGGAAGTGGTCTCCAAAGACATTCTTCATAAATGTTATCAAGCTTCCGCCCCACCCCACTCTCTCTGCACTGAAATCTAAAGATGGCTTCCTAGTTGTTATCTGTAAGAATATTCAGGGAGGTGGGGAGACTGGGGGGCTGCTGGGTGATGAGGAGCATACCTGATGGAGACAGAGGAGCACTGGGCCAGCCTCCTGCCTGCACTCTTCAGGCCAGTGTAGATCTGCCCCATTTCCATGGCTCCCTCTAGCCCCACCACTTCAAGAAGCTGGTCACTGAGGTCTGTAGAGTGAGACAAGCAAAAGCAGTGCACACACATCTCTCTGTTTCCCAGTCTGGTTTGGGCCAGAAGGTCTGGTCCCTAGATGGCCAACCCAGAACTCTCAATATCCCTTCATCTCCTACCAAACAGCATTTTCATCCTCATTCTAAATAGGGAATTTCCCCAGAAGTCAACAAATGTACTTTTCATAAACAGAAACCCAGTTCTAGTAAAAAAAAAAGGTTTTGATTCAGAAGGTTAACGTGCATCCAATGAATAGGCTGACATATCCAGAAACCTCTTCAAATGGAGCGTAACATAAAGGATGAACCAGCTATTTCTGAAATACAATCCCCCAGTGCAGCTAAAGACACATTGGCTTGGGATTAGGATAGGAAGGAATGCTGATGAAGGTCATTATCCAGAGCTGGATCAGGTTTCTCTTCCCTGAATGTCTGAATAACATTTTGGCCCTACTGACGATGACTGATGCTTAATTAACTTCAAATTTGGCCTGCGGTAAGCCAGTGGTGAGCCAACCTCCTTGGACATCCTTGGGGAAGTCAGTGACCTCTTTCAGGACACCAGGTGCCTCATCTGAGCCAAGGAAAAGAATATTTCACCTACACCAGATTATACTGGGTCCACAGTACAAAAAGAGGGATAGAAAATACGAGTCTCAGGCTCAGAGTCGCACAGGATCGATGGCTCCCCACAGTGGCAGTCGCTTCTGATTCAGCACCTAGAAGAGGTCCTTTTTTTCAAAGTTCCTGGGGCTTGGATTGTGCCTGTCCAATTTCTGGGGAAAGCAACGGCAGCGTTAAGGTTTGATGGTGGGCCCAAAGACTCATTTTGACAACACAGAAGCAAATTTATTTAAAACAGAAGCAAATAAAAAGGCAGCTTCTTTAAAAACTTCCATTCCTTCTTTGCCTACTAAGGCAGGGGAAATTCTCTCACAGGTTGTGGCTAATCACTAACATCCTATTAATATTCATGAACTAGAAAACTGTTCTAGAAAATTGTTAATGTCTCTGCTTATTTGACAGATGGCTTCGGTCTTCTAAGGTGCCTCCTGATAAAGTACGATAGTGTTTATTAAGATTGGCAAGGAGATATTTGGGTTTGTCTTTACTTTTTTTTCACATACACACACTGTATTTTATTTTTACAAGAGATAAATAAACTGATACCAAGCATTGTGTCTTTACTTTTTTGTTAGACTGTTGTTTAAAAAACAGTCTCTTGACAGATATACTTCTTTTTTTTTTAACACCTTTATTGGAGTAGAATTGCTTTACAATGGTGTGTTAGTTTCTGCTGTATAACAAAGTGAATCAGCTGTACATAAACATAGATTCCCACATCTCCTCCCTCTTGACGGATATACTTCTAATGAAGACAGTTAAACTACTGGGCTGACCACAAATGTGTAAACGTCGCCGAAGTCTAACCTAACGATCACTAATGGACATCAGCTGCCAGCAGATACAAACACTGCATTAGTCTCTCTACACCCATGGTTTTCCCCTCCACACCCATCGACACTCCCATTCTCCTATCTCTGGTACTCCTGTTTTCATAACTGTGAAAAGATACTGTCTCCTTAAACCCTCCATCTCCTTTGGATTTGGAACAAGAAGCCATGAATAGGCAAAGTTTGTTTAGGAGAACGCTCCAGGCTCTCTTAAGGAGCTTAGATCCAGTAAACAACAAATGTCTAAACCTCTAGTCACTTAATTAGTTCCCTTCTTACTAAAGTGTGTTGAATAACCATTGGATAGTTTTAGCTTAATGTGTCATTTTACAGTGTCTGTGAAATCAGTATGGGTTGTGAATGAGAGAGAGAAGAAGAAGGAGGAGGAGAAGGAGGAGAAAAATGAGGAGGAGGGAGGAGGGAGGAGGGAGGGGAGGGAAGGGGAGGGAGGAGGGAGGGGAGGGAAAGGGA